GTTGTTTTCAGTGATATTTACAGGGATTGGGAAAAGAAAGTGATTATTTATTATTTGCTGATGATAGAGCGATATTATGGAGAAGAAGACATGAAGTAGAATTTATGGTTAAGAAAGTCTAAGATGAAAAGTTCAGGCAGAGAAACATCTCAGTTGAAAAGACAAAAGATTTGGTCTTTACATTGAAAAATATAACAGTGAGTATAAAATTAAAGTCACCTAAAAATAATTAGTACTAGTAAAAAGTTTGATATGTTTAGGGATCAGTTTTTTATGAAAACCAGATGAATAATTCATCTATAACAGGTGCTCCACAGAGGACGCCATCAGCTCAGCTCTGTACTCACCTGGAGAAAAGAGACTGAGAATGCTGCTCATCGCCTTCAGCTCAGCATTCAGTAACTTTATACCCCAACAGCTGATCTGCAAACTGGACAAACTGGGCCTCAGCACCTCCCTCTGTAACTGGCTGCTGGACTTCCTGTGCCGGAGACCCCAAGCAGTGCGCGTCGGTAACAACACCTCGGACACTATCACGCTGAGCACAGGAGCTCCACAAGGGTGCGTGCTAAGCCCTCTGCTCTTCACCCTACTCACACACGACTGCAACACAACCCACAGCACTAACCACCTGGTGAAGTTTGCAGACGACACAACCCTGGTGGGACTCATCTCCAACGGTGACGAGACACACTAGGACAGAGGTGGACCACCTAGCCGAGTGGTGCAGTGACAACAACCTCCTACTGAACGTCAGCAAGACAAAGGAGATTGTTGTCAACTTCCAGAAAGGTCCCCGCCGACTCCTGCCACTGACCATCGATGGCGCTGCTGTGGAGAGGGTGAGCAGCACTAAATTCCTAGGAGTGCACATCAGCGACGACCTCTCCTGGACCACCAACACTGCATCACTGGTCAAGAAAGCCCAACAACGCCTCTACTTCCTGCGGAAGCTGAATCAGGCCAGTGCCCCACCAGCCATCATGACCTCCTTCTACAGAGGAGCCATTGAAAGCATCATCACCAGCTGGATCACTGTATGGGGCGGGAGCTGCACTGACTACAACAGGAAAGCCCTGCAACGTATAGTGCAGGGATCTTCAACGTTTTCCAGGCCAAGGATGGAGTATTACAGATGGAGTAATGTAACTAAAGTAATCCCTCCCTGGGATTATTAAAGTATTTCTGATTCCTGGTTGATGGGACAGGTGTTGAGAATGAAACGGTGTCCAGCTTGAAAGAGCTCCTGTGTGTCTCTGAATGTGAGCATTGATGTCTGAAAGACATCTTTTGTCTCCATTTATCTGTTTACTGCAGTCTGCTGGATTCATGTTAATGTGGATTTAAAGACATTTCAATTAGTGGAAAAAATTACAGGGGAGAATATAAACAAAAATTTTGATTCAACCAAAACTTTCACGACCCCCATGCAGCACCTCTGGGCCCCCCCTAGGGGTCACGGACCCCCTGTTGAAGACCTCTGGTATAGTGAACACAGCTGGGAGGATCATCAAGGCACCTCTCCCCTCCCTGCAAGACATCTACTCCAGCTGCCTCATTTGGAAGGATGACACCCCCCCAGCACACAACCTGATCCGTCTCCTGCCCTCCGGAAAGAGGTACGGGGGCCTACGGTCCAGAACCACCCGGCTGGCAAACACCTTCATCCACCAGGCCATCAGAATGCTGAACTCCCTCCACCCCCTCCCCACACGGTCTGCTCCAGCCACCAGGCAGACAGGAAGCTAAGACTGCCCTCTCTCTCTCTCTGTCTCTCTGTCTCTCTCTCTCTCTCTCTTTCTCTCACACACACTCTATATTTATCTTATCTTCTTTTACATGTTCAATGTTAAATATTGAATGTTAATATTAATGTTAAATGTCACATGTTCTTTGTTCTGTATTTATCATTAACTTATTGTTACCTGTCATGTCCCGCACTTTATGTCAGTCTGTAAAATGTCAGTCTTGCATATGTCTTGTCCTGGCATGGTATAGAGAGAAAACGTAATTGTATGTTTTGTGCATATGTACAAAGTGACAATAAAAGCTGAACCTGAACCTATAAAAATGTTTCAAAAAGTCCTAAATCTAAGGAGGTGTTTAGCAGAGACTGTGGATCAGATTATTTGAACAAAGGAAAAAACAGGACTGATTAGTTTGAAACAAGCAGGAGAGGCTGGAAACCGAGCCGCCATCAAGAGGAGGACAGTAGAAATATAACACTTAGATCTAAACTCCATCTGGATCGGACTGAAACATCAGATATCAGACAACAATGAGATTAACAACAGCGTTTCCATGGAAACGCAGAGAGGGAGGCTGGGAAGTGGATATCAGAGATTAAAAGTGTTTTCAAACTAAAACTAAAGAAAATATAAAGTTGAAAAGATGAAATAAAGAAAGATGGTTTAAAATTATCAAGATTTTGGTCACAGAAAGAAAAACTTTTTAAAATACTAAAATATGATCCAGGAACCAGTGTGGCTAAAATGACAAAACAGAACAAACATCTGGAACAGAAAGAGGTTTAATGAGGAGAAAAATAAAGAAAACTTTAATCCATACATTATAAATGAATTCAGGAAGCAAATCAATTATTATGATCTTTGAAAACCAGTTTAATGAAAAGTTCAATAGAAAGATTTTTTAGGCCACCAGCTAGTGGCGGTAATGAGCACCAGTCAATAAACAGAAGAAGAAGAATGAGGAGGCGGAAGCGAAGAAGAAGAAGAAGTTAAATGATTTGGCGCCGCGGCTGCCGCTGAGCTAGCCGCTAAGCTAGCCGCTGCTGTAGCCTCCTCTGTCCGCCATGGAAGAACTTTTTAACAAAGTCTTGCTGGTTCACTTGAAGCACAAGGACTGCGAGGAGAGGTGAGCTTCCCCCGCAGGGCTGCGGGGCTCCGGGAGCAGATTCCCGCAGGCTCCCCGCCGCAGCTCGGTGCTGCATTCAGGTGTTGTCGGACAACAGGACTTCCATATTCAAATAACTTCAATAACTGTTTTTTTTTAAGATGAAATGTCAATAAGGCCTTAAGTGAGTCTTTGTAACCGGAATCCTGGTTCATTTCCAGACAGGTTAAACAATCATTTTTTAAGTTATCTTATAAAAAGTCAAATGAAGTAGTTTCTGGTAACTTTATAAATGATAAATAAATCCCAACATGGCGGTAAATTGATCTTATTAGGAGATTAAATCTAATTAAAGACAAACTGTTAATGGATCCCTAATTAAAAAAAACTAACTTTGATAAATAAACATGACAAAAAGTAAAAAGCAAGTCACACAATTTAAATCAAACTGTTAATAATAAAACTGTTATAAATAAATCAGGATATAATGAGGCTGGAAATATTGTGGTTTAATTCTATGAAATAATGTTGATATATTAATATTTAGTAACATTATCCTCTATGATAAAAATAATGATCATTTTATGCAGGCTTTAGTTTTGGCTGCTCTTATTGGGGCTTTAATTTTCATCATATCAACTGATATGATATAAAAGTATGGGTCAGTTTTGGCTCCATCTGCTGGATTAACAGCTGCTGATAATCTCTGCTGTAAATAATCTGTTATTGTGTTTTAAGAGATGTGAACATCTAGAAACAAAGATCTATGTGTTTAGCACAGATGTACGTCAGCTGGCGTGCAGGAAGTTCCCTCCCAGCCATTGTTTGTATTATTGAATAAAATCTATTAATCTGTTAATCTGACCACGGTCATGATGAGCCACAGACCCACGCCGTCTAATCCTGAGGGCAGATTACGGATCTATTCACAAACCTTTCATAACTGTCACAGTCTGCCGGGTTTAATCCAGTAAGCAGGTTTAATAAAGCCGGACTCTAATCCTGAATCGATGGAGCCTGAAGCTTCATTTAGTCAACTTTAAGTAGATCCGCTCTGACGTCTATTGGTGGAATTCTACAACTGCATTTCAGGAAGAAAACACTAAATTATTCTAATAAGAACAAAGTTTCTATTTCTAGAAATGTTTCCACATTTTCAGCGGTCGTCTGACATTTATTAGATTGACTGAATATTTTATTGATGAAATCTGAAAAACATTTCTTCATAGTCAAAATAATACAAATTCTGACCAGTAACATTAGGAAGATGGAGATCTATAATTAATTTCTAGACATCCAGAATGTTTATTCTAGATGTGAGAAATCTGTTTTTGTTTGAAATGATCATTTAGACAGAAAAATGTTTTTCAGATATCAGAAATAAATATTCAGTAAACTATTACATATCAAACGGCTTGCCGTAGAAGTCGTTGCCGCGATAACGTTGCTCATTTATGTCTTGGATGGTCGTGGATCAATGGATCTATTTAGGTGAAATCATCAGTCAGCGGGTGAAGTCTAGAAACGTTCTAATCTATAGAAGCTGTTCATCATCTCACGGCTTCCTCCTCATGTTGATTCTTTCACACAGTAAATATTTATTTATGTTTAATCTCAAAATAATGTCAGTAGTTCTCCACATGCTGTAAAAATAACTAAATAAAAATAAAATGATCCGCTTAGAAAAATGAGTTTTCACTGAACCTGCTTCTGAAACCGGCTGCTGGTGAAAAGTGCACTAATAAATAAATCCATCATCATCGTCATTTTCCCCTAAAGGCTGCAAAGTTTGCTATCTGCAACAAATCAACGTTTACTGTAAGAAAAAAGGAGTAATTAGAATAAATAAATGTTAAAGAGTCTTTATTGTTTCTACTGATGGTTTTAATAAGATGCTGAATGAAGCCATGATCTCATGTTTATCACCAGATGTTAGAAAACAGAGAGAAACTCTGAGATTATTGATCATCCAGGTGTTGATGCTGCAGGCAGGAAGCATCTCCTGTAGAGGTCTGTCTGCAGCGGATCTGGATCAGCCTCTGACTGAAGACCCTCTGTTGGTGTCTAACAGTCTGATGAAGAGGATGAGCGTCCATCATCTTCATCTCCAGAGGTTCAGAGCCGGCCTCTTTATCAGCTGGTTGAGCTTCTTCTATCAGTCATTAGCTCTGATGATGATGATGATGATGGTGATGATGATGGAAATGTTCCTTTCTACCATTCCTTTATGAGAGGTAAAGGCTGTAGCCTGTCAGCCATGCAGGAGGGAAGCGATGCTCCAATGATGGCGCTAGCCGCAGCTTTAACCCTTCATGGTCCAAGTTTGCAGGTCAGACGATGAGGTCTGCAGGCCTGACAGCGTTTTTATGGAAACCCCAGCTGCCCTCTGTCCTCCACCGTTAGTTCAAATAAAGTTAGAATCCTATGAAGGAAAACAGGTTTAAAAGCTTTAATTAGTATTAATACACTTTGAAACAACCTGTTTCTCTATTAATACCCAGATAAACATCCTGTGTAACAAACCTGTAGAATAATCCTGCTATAAAAACAATGGCTGCCATATGTGGATAAACTCTATATACTGTTTATATCCCATCATGCACCTCTTCTCCTTCGACTATTTGAGCTGATGGAACCAGTTCATCTCTCCATGTGAGATCAATCAATTCAATCAATCAATAAAGTCATTAAGTTAAAGTGAAAGTTTCTGTTTCAGCTTCAATGTTCTGAGGATGGAACCAAAACTCAGTTTTTCTCTCAGACGTCTGATAGAATCAGCTCATTTCCGCCATATTGGCGCCCGTCTATCAGGTCAGGGCGGATAGACGCAGAGCGCCGGGCTAACCTTGGATTGTTTTACAGAAAAGCAAATGTCCGAGTCACCGTAGAGCTGACCACGACCCCGGTCCACCGCAGGGTGAGTCAGCTGTTCGCCGCAGCAGCTGCTAGCTGAGCAGGACTTCATGGCCGTGTTGCTTTCTCCCTGTCAGGACCTTCTAGTGAAGCTGACGGACGACGCAGACCCCTTCTTCCTCTTCACCCTGCCCGTATCAGAGGAGGATTATCAAAGGTAGGAGCTGATGACTGGATATCCGTCCGTCTGTCCTCAGAGCTGAACGCCTGCCTCCCTCTGTGTGTCTGAGCAGCCTGAAGGTGCAGCAGGGCCTGCTCATCGACTTTGCATCATTTCCTCAGAAGTTCATAGACCTGCTGAACCTGTGCAACGCCGAGCCAGACGCCGACAACCCCAGGTAGGAAGAACAGACGTTTCCTGCAGGAAATCAATGCAGTAAAAGCATCTCAGCTAATTAGATGGTCTATGAACAACCTGCCTCGTTTACGGAGCAACCAGGAAGCAACCAGCACTGTAGTCCCGCAGCAGGGTAGCCATGACAACCAGGCGGCGCTCTCAGGTGCTCTGGCAGCTGCCCTGAGGCTGACTGCGGGAAGGGTTGCCGGTGCGTCTCTGGAATAGAATAAAACCTTTATTTTCCCACGATGGGGAAATGTTGGTGTTTCAGCAGAATTACAGTAAAAATAGTCACACATATATGGAGCTTATAAAATACCAGAATAGTTTACAGAGTAAATAAATAAAATGCTGTTTTCATCTAAAACTGGAGAATAACTGAGCAATAAAGAGATGTTTACAGCAGCAGCAGCGCCGTGTGTCCTGCTCTGTGAGGAGGATGGATCTCTTCATGCTTGGTGTTTGTTCTCAGGTTCCTCCTGCAGCTGACCTGCCAGCCTGTCATGGAGGAGAGCAGCGCCACCTTCAGCGTGGTGGAGATGAACGCTTTCAAGCACCTGAACCACCTGTCGCTGAGGCTCCTCCAAGGCTCAGACAGAGAAGTCAAGGACTACCTGGCTGCACGCCTGTCCTCTCTGAAGGTTGGTTTATTCTCCTTTGTCATGCCGACGAAGGCGGGCGCCATTATGGGTTTGATGGGGGGGGGTCTGTAAATATTAGAGCTGCAGCGGACAGTCGAGGCCCTCTGACCCAAACCGACCCGGACAGACAGGAAGGAGATGCAGCAGCATGAGAGAAGAAGCCGTCTGCAGAGTCAGCTGCAGGAAAATGGTCCAAACCTCCAGGTCCTGCAGACTGACGGGTCCAGGTCTCCTCTGGCTTCTCTAGACCATAGACCATCCTTTGATAATGAATGAATGAATGAACGAATGAATGAACGAATGAATGAACGAATGAATGAACGAATGAATGAACGAACGAATGAACGAACGAACGAATGAACGAACGAATGAACGAACGAATGAACGAATGAATGAACGAATGAATGAACGAATGAATGAACGAATGAATGAACGAATGAATGAACGAATGAATGAATGAACGAACGAATGAACGAACGAATGAACGAACGAATGAACGAACGAATGAACGAATGAATGAACGAATGAACGAATGAAGGAACGAATGAACGAACGAATGAACGAATGAATTAACGAATGAATGAACGAATGAATGAATGAACGAACGAATGAACGAACGAATGAACGAACGAATGAACGAATGAATGAACGAATGAACGAACGAATGAACGAATGAATTAACGAATGAATGAACGAATGAATGAACGAACGAACGAATGAACGAACGAATGAACGAACGAATGAACGAACGAATGAACGAATGAATGAACGAATGAATGAACGAATGAATGAACGAATGAATGAACGAATGAATGAACGAATGAATGAACGAATGAATGAATGAACGAACGAATGAACGAACGAATGAACGAACGAATGAACGAACGAATGAACGAACGAATGAACGAATGAATGAACGAATGAACGAATGAACGAATGAACGAACGAATGAACGAATGAATTAACGAATGAATGAACGAATGAATGAATGAACGAACGAATGAACGAATGAATGAACGAATGAACGAACGAATGAATGAATGAACGAACGAATGAACGAATGAACGAACGAATGAACGAATGAATGAACGAATGAATGAACGAATGAACGAACGAATGAACTAATGAATGAACTAATGAATGAACGAATGAACGAACGAATGAACGAACGAACGAACGAATGAACGAACGAATGAATGAACGAATGAATGAACGAATGAATGAACGAATGAATGAATGAACGAATGAACGAACGAACGAACGAATGAACGAACGAATGAACGAACGAATGAACGAATGAATGAACGAATGAATGAACGAATGAATGAACGAATGAATGAATGAACGAACGAATGAACGAACGAATGAACGAATGAACGAACGAATGAACGAACGAATGAATGAACGAATGAATGAACGAATGAATGAACGAATGAACGAACGAATGAACGAACGAATGAACGAACGAATGAACGAACGAATGAACGAATGAATGAACGAATGAATGAACGAATGAATGAACGAATGAATGAACGAATGAATGAATGAACGAATGAACGAACGAATGAACGAACGAATGAACGAACGAATGAACGAATGAACGAATGAATGAACGAATGAATGAACGAATGAACGAACGAATGAACGAACGAATGAACGAATGAATGAACGAATGAATGAACGAATGAACGAATGAATGAACGAATGAATGAATGAATGAATGAATGAATGAATGAACGAACGAATGAACGAATGAATGAACGAATAAATGAACGAATGAATGAACGAATGAATGAACGAACGAATGAATGAACGAATGAACGAACGAATGAACGAACGAATGAACGAATGAATGAACGAACGAATGAACGAACGAATGAACGAACGAATGAACGAACGAATGAATGAACGAATGAATGAACGAATGAATGAACGAACGAACGAATGAACGAACGAATGAACGAACGAATGAACGAACGAATGAACGAATGAATGAACGAATGAATGAACGAATGAATGAACGAATGAATGAACGAATGAATGAACGAATGAATGAACGAATGAACGAATGAATGAATGAATGAACGAACGAACGAACGAATGAACGAACGAATGAACGAATGAACGAACGAACGAATGAACGAATGAATGAACGAATGAATGAACGAATGAACGAATGAACGAATGAATGAACGAATGAATGAACGAATGAATGAACGAATGAATGAACGAATGAATGAACGAATGAATGAACGAATGAATGAATGAACGAATGAACGAACGAATGAACGAATGAATGAACGAATGAATGAACGAATGAATGAACGAATGAATGAACGAATGAATGAACGAATGAATGAATGAATGAACGAACGAATGAACGAACGAATGAACGAACGAATGAATGAATGAACGAATGAATGAACGAATGAATGAATGAACGAATGAATGAACGAACGAACGAATGAATGAACGAATGAACGAACGAATTAATGAATGAATGAACGAATGAATGAATGAACGAATGAATGAACGAATGAATGAACGAACGAACGAATGAATGAACGAATGAATGAACGAATGAATGAACGAATGAATGAACGAATGAACGAATGAACGAACGAATGAACGAATAAATGAACGAATGAATGAACGAATGAATGAACGAACGAACGAACGAATGAACGAACGAATGAATGAACGAACGAATGAATGAACGAATGAATGAACGAACGAATGAACGAACGAATGAACGAACGAATGAACGAACGAATGAACGAACGAATGAACGAACGAATGAACGAACGAATGAACGAACGAATGAACGAACGAATGAACGAACGAATGAACGAACGAATGAACGAATGAATGAATGAACGAATGAACGAACGAATGAACGAACGAATGAACGAACGAATGAACGAACGAATGAACGAACGAATGAATGAACGAATGAATGAAGGAATGAACGAATGAATGGACGGATGGATGAATGAATGAACGAATGAATGAACGAACGAATGAATGAACGAATGAATGAATGAACGAATGAACGAATAAATGAACGAATGAATGAACGAATAAATGAACGAATGAATGAACGAATGAATGAATGAACGAATGAATGAATGAATGAACGAATGAATGGACGGATGGATGAATGAATGAACGAATGAATGAACGAACGAATGAATGAACGAATGAATGAACGAATGAATGGATGGATGGATGAATGAATGAATGAATGAATAGATGAATGAATGACGTGCCACTGATGATCTTCACTGTTTCAGGCAGAGAAGCTGGCCTTAGACGTGAAGCTGAAGGAGACTGAGGAGGATCTGTCCCGGAAGCTAAGCTACACTCAGCAGGTCAGCTTCTCCTGATTGGCCCGCAGCTCTGCTGTCAGCCATGTTTCTGTAGACCTCCACCAACAGGAGGGGAGGGAGGGAGGGAGGGAGGGAGGGAGGGAGGGAGGGAGGAAGGAAGGAAGGAAGGAAGGAAGGAAGGAAGGAAGGAAGGAAAAGATAAGATAAGATATAAAAAAAGTTGCTAAAGGAATGAGGTCATGAGGTGGTTCTCAGAAAACCCTCCAATCAGGAGAGATGCTCCTCCTGGATATGAGGAGGATTGCTGTCCTCCTGCAGAAGGACTAAATGATGATGATGATGATGATGATGAGGAGCAGGCCTGTTAGAGGTGAAGATGTTAGCTGGTCAGTGCAGGTTTCAGGTCAGCAGGGAAGGCGCCATCAGGCTGGTGAGGTCTAAAGGTGAGTCTGACTGCTTCTCCACCACTGGCCCCGCCCACTTTGCCTCCATCTTCCTCCATCCTTTCATAGAGGACCATCTGATGCAGAACCTGTTAAATGTGTCACTGATCTGCACTAAGTTCTCCATGTTGGTGACTGAAGCAGAGAAGCGTATTGATCCATCGTCTTCGCCATGAGGCCTCTGCAAGGTTCTGGTTCAGCCCGTTATGCCCCAAGCAGGAAGGTCCTCCATCACCAGGCCCCATGCACAGTGGGTGGAGGCCTGGAGATGGACCTCCATCCACTGCTGGGGTTCAGGGTCTTGCTCAGGGACCCAGAGTGGGAGTCTGGGGATGGAACCCTGTAGTGTCTAACACTAGGCCATCACCTCCCCCCACAGGTACCAGCTCCTAGCTCCTCCAGGGGGCGGGGCGTTCAGGGCACCCTTGGTCACCTGATCAACCAAAACACACCCCCTGCTTCCTCACTTCTGAACCAACACTTAGTGCCATTCTTTGTAAAGTTGAGTGAAATGAGTGCAGGCTCTTAAAGGGCCAGTACATGATGATGATGATGATGCGTTCTGTTCCAGACGCTGTCAGAGAAGACCAAAGAGCTGGAGAAGCTGCGCTCAGAATGGACCAATCACAGCAGCTCTCTGTCCAGCCGCCATTCTGGGGAGCTGCAGTCACAGAGGGAGAAGATCCTGGAGGTAAGACCTTCATCCTTCATCTGACTGGATCCGACCGACCGGCCCCGGGACGCCATAGATCCAACCACAGGACGCCATAGATCCAACCACAGGACGCCATAGATCCAACCGCAGGACGCCATAGATCCAACCGCAGGACGCCATAGATCCAACCACAGGACGCCATAGATCCAACCGCAGGACGCCATAGATCCAACCGCAGGACGCCATAGATCCAACCGCAGGACGCCATAGATCCAACCGCAGGACGCCATAGATCCAACCGCAGGACGCCATAGATCCAACCGCAGGACGCCATAGATCCAACCGCAGGACGCCATAGATCCAACCGCAGGACGCCATAGATCCAACCGCAGGACGCCATAGATCCAACCGCAGGACGCCATAGATCCAACCGCAGGACGCCATAGATCCAACCGCAGGACGCCATAGATCCAACCGCAGGACACCATAGATCCAACCACAGGACGCCATAGATCCAACCACAGGACGCCATAGATCCAACCACAGGACCCCATAGATCCAACCACAGGACGCCATAGATCCAACCACAGGACGCCATAGATCCAACCACAGGACCCCATAGATCCAACCACAGGACGCCATAGATCCAACCACAGGACGCCATAGATCCAACCGCAGGACGCCATAGATCCAACCGCAGGATGCCATAGATCCAACCACAGGACGCCATAGATCCAACCGCAGGACGCCATAGATCCAACCGCAGGACGCCATAGATCCAACCACAGGACGCCATAGATCCAACCACAGGACGCCATAGATCCAACCACAGGACGCCATAGATCCAACCACAGCACACCTAGTGGTGGAGGCCCCTCTGTGCTCCTTTAAAGTCCATCTAGAATCTGGCCTGACCACACTAAAGATGATGAAGGATGCTATGTGTTATTTATCTATTTATATATATCTATATATGAGAGTCATGGCTACTTGTTGATTGCATTAAAATTATTTCTAAGAGCATCAAAAAGCATTAAATTAGAGTTACTCAGTTCTGTTTAAACTCTGGTTTAAACTCTGGTTTAAACCTGGTTCAGATTCCATCACCCCCCCCCCCTCCAGAGACAAACCAATCACAGATAGAGGACAGCTAAACATCTCCTCCCACCTCCTCCTCACTCTGACAGCTGTCTCTTTGATGTTCTTATCCAATCAGAGGGGCTGGAGTTTGCAGCGACGCCTCGATCCATTCTAGAAACTATAGCTCTAGGAACCTCTTAGCCTCTTTTTGACCCGGTTCTCCAGGTTCTCCTCCATCGGTTATTAAGTCATTTCCTGCTGCAGATGTTGGTGGAGAACCCTCCAACCCCCCCCCCCCCCCCCCCCCCCCCCCCCAGAAGCAGGGATTAGGATTACTGGATTAGTCAGCTAACTTCAGGTTGAACAGAGCATTTCAGCTTTACTTCAACCACTGATGCTGTAAACATGACCTCCAGCTACCATCAGCTGGACTCCCTCTTTGTAAGGTTGGTTGCCATGGTAACGTAGTCTCTTCCTGGGCGGCTCGCTTCCAGTGTCGATCTGAACCCCCCCCCCAGCAGCCAATCAGCTGTTAGGAAATTATGACAGCGTGTCGTTTGATTGAAAACCTGATTTATTTCAGAAAGAAAGAAACAAAACGTCAGAATAAAAATCAGTTCTTTTTATTTTTCCTCCTTTGGACAAACCAACCCGCCTCCGGCCCCCGGGGGGCGCTCTGTGGGGAGCAGCCAGCTTCAGGAGGAGCTCTGACCGGGGGAAGGTCTGCAGCTCCGTCTGGAACAAGGTGTCCACCTCTGAGGAGACGCTGCTGCTGCTCCTCATGCTGGGTCCTCCTCCCTCTAGGCTCTGCTCCTCATGCTGGATCCTCCTCCCTCTAGGCTCTGCTCCTCATGCTGGATCCTCCTCCCTCTAGGCTCTGCTCCTCATGCTGGGTCCTCCTCCCTCCAGGCTCTGCTCCTCATGCTGGGTCCTCCTCCCTCTAGGCTCTGCTCCTCATGCTGGGTCCTCCTCCCTCTAGGCTCTGCTCCTCATGCTGGGTCCTCCTCCCTCTAGGCTCTGCTCCTCATGCTGGGTCCTCCTCCCTCTAGGCTCTGCTCCTCATGCTGGGTCCTCCTCCCTCTAGGCTCTGCTCCTCATGCTGGGTCCTCCTCCCTCTAGGCTCTGCTCCTCATGCTGGGTCCTCCTCCCTCTAGGCTCTGCTCCTCATGCTGGGTCCTCCTCCCTCTAGGCTCTGCTCCTCATGCTGGGTCCTCCTCCCTCCAGGCTCTGCTCCTCATGCTGGGTCCTCCTCCCTCCAGGCTCTGCTCCTCATGCTGGGTCCTCCTCCCTCTAGGCTCTGCTCCTCATGCTGGGTCCTCCTCCCTCTAGGCTCTGCTCCTCATGCTGGGTCCTCCTCCCTCCAGGCTCTGCTCCTCATGCTGGGTCCTCCTCCCTCCAGGCTCTGCTCCTCATGCTGGGTCCTCCTCCCTCCAGGCTCTGCTCCTCATGCTGGGTCCTCCTCCCTCCAGGCTCTGCTCCTCATGCTGGGTCCTCCTCCCTCCAGGCTCTGCTCCTCATGCTGGGTCCTCCTCCCTCCAGGCTGGAGGTCCTCCTCTCTCCAGGCTGGGAGGATCTCCTCCCTGCGCTGCAGGAGGTGTCGGTGGCTCAGAGCAGTGTCAGTCTGTGGATGGAGGCGACCAGCTGCGCCTCCTTCTCCATTTGGTCAAAGGAGCGGCGGTCTGTCTCCTGCCTGACCTGCTCCCTCAGCTGAAAGGAGGCCATGGCCAGCCTCTGCGCCTCCTGGAGGAGCAGCTCTCTCCCCCTCTGCAGCCTCTGCCTCCTCCCCTCCTTCATGGAGAGCTGCTCCTCTCGGATGGTCCGTGCAGCCTCCTCCTGCCGGTGGATCTCCTCCCTGAGGGCGCGGTGGCGTGCCGTTCTGAGCGTGCGGCGTTGGCGCGTCTGCAGCGTCCTGCTGCTGAGCAGCGCTGACGCGTGATTGGCCGCTCTCTGCGTGTGGCGCTGGCTCTGCTGCAGGAGGCTCTGCTTGTGCGTCTCCTCCTGGACCTTCAGCAGGTTGGTTCTGGTCTGAGCTCTTTGGATCTGGACCTTGTGGGCGGAGGCGCGCCGCTGGAGGAGCTGCAGCTGCTCCTCAGCAGCGCGCCTCCGTTTCTCAGAGGAGCGCTGCTGCTTCTTCTCATGCTTGCTCCTTCTCTGGGATTGCTCCTCCTCCATCTGCTGCTCCATGTGTTTCTTCAGGAAGACGTGTCGCAGCGTCTCTCTGTGACTCTCCTCCTGCAGCCTTTCCTGCCTCCTCTGCTCCTGCAGCGCTTTGCTCCTCCAAGCCCTCTCCTTCCTATGTACTGCTGCCTCCTTCTCCTTCTCTCGCTGGCCTCTCTCCATCTCCACTCTCTCCCTCTGCATCCTCTCCTGATGCTGTTTACGCTCCTGCGCCTCCTTCAGAGCAGCCTGCAGCTTCTCTCTGCGTTGTGCCTCCTCCTCCTCTCTCAGCCTCCTCCAGCGCCTCTCCTGGAGCGATATCTGCTGCTGCAGCTGGTCAGCTTCCTCCTGCTCCTGCTGCTGCCTCCTCGTCCTGCGGGCCTCCAGCTCTTTGTTCCAGTGCTTCCTCCTCTGCTTAAGCCTCCTCCTGCGTTTGTCTCCTGCTTGGGCCTGCCTGGCCTCCTCCTTCCTGCGGGCTTCCTGACGCTCCTGTTCCTCCTGCCGAGAACGGCTGAGGCGCTCCTGCTCCTCCTGATGCTTCAGCAGCATCAGAGCGGCTATCCTGCGGTCCGTCTCTGATACGGTGACGTGGGTCCTCCTGTTGACCTCCGAGGTGATCCTCTGCAGCCTCCTCTCTGTAGACGAGGAGAACCTCAGACCTCCCAGGCTGAAGCTGCTGACTGTGCTCCTCTCTGGAGCATGAAGAGAGGAGCAGCCTTTTCCTTTAGAGCAGAGATCAGCGTAGATGATGGGCTCTGCTGAGACATCCTTCAGCTCCCTGCAGGGTTCAGGTCTCCATGCTGCTTTGCTTCCAGCCTGCAGGCTGCATGGAGGGAGAACCTTTGATCGCTCCTTTTCGTAGGAGTCATGCAAAGCCTTCATGGCCTCATGAGGGGCCTCCTGCTGCCGCCGTGCAATCAGCTCGTTCAGGGACTTAATTAGCAGCTGAACCGGATTAATGCCGGGCTGGGTCCTGGACTGCGGCGCCTGAGGACTGCGGATCTCTTCTGCTCCGGGTTCCTTCAGATCCAGACAGGAAGCAGGAGGAGCGGAGCTCAGCTCCTCCATGGTTCTCCTGGTCGAAGGCTCTCAGCTGTGCAGCGCGGGGAGATCAGGAGGGATTACCTGATCAGCTGAGCTGCTTTAAAGGGGCGGGGCCTATTTCTGCAGGTCACAGAGTGGTGATGTTAGTCCAACCTGATCCATGCAATGGGATGCATCTGGTTACCGTGGCAACGGCTGAACAGATTCAGCTGTCTTTATGAGGAAACCGAGATCATTAATAATAAATGAATACAGAGGATGGTGAGAAGTTTCATTTTAATAGATATATAACAACCAATTCTATTCAGTTTATTTCTATAGCTCCAATTCTCATCATGTCATCTCAGGTCACTTTATAGATCAAGTTCAACCAGATCATACAGTCAGATTGATTCAAAGTTTTCTATCTAAGGAAAACCAGCTGATTGCATCGACTCATTGACTCTTCAGCAATCCCTCACACTAAGCATGCTTGTAGCGACAGTGGAGAGGAAAAACTCCCTTTGAACAGGAAGAAACCTCCAGCAGAACCAGGCTCAGTGTGAGCGGCCATCTGCTGAGGCCCACTGGGGTTCAAGGAGACAGAAGCAGACATAGAAAAAGAAGCATAGATACAAAAGGCAACTGTCAACCAGCTCCACAGGCGGCCCCGTCCAGGAAACACACAGCCAGGCAGACGAGCTCCGAGCCAGCTCCCATGTCAGAGGATGAAGAGAGCACATCCAGTTAGTCACAGTCAGAGAAACAGGACTACACTGGAAAACAGGCCAAGCTCCAACATCTAGAAACAAAGGTGTTGATGGCAGCAGCACAGCTGATATTTCTCTCCAGGATGGAGTCACAGCCAAACAGGAACAGACCAGATGAAGCTACTATGAGAAAAAGCAGAGAGAGCAGAACGTTAGAGATTGAACTAACAGATTCTGCAGAGTGGGAGAATAGAGATAGAATGAAGCAGAATGATGAAATGGGGTCCCTATGTCCTCCAGCAGTCTAAGCCTATAGCAGCAGAACTATAGAGATAGATCAGGATAACCTGAGCCACTCTAACTAGAAGCTTTATCAAAAAGGAAAGTTTTAAGCCTAGCCTTAAAAGTAGACAGGGTGTCTGCCTCACGGACTAAAACTGGTAGTTGGTTCCACAGGAGAGGAGCCTGAGAACTAAAAGATCTGCCTCCCATTCTACTTTTAGAAATTCTAGGAACCACTAGTAAACCTGCAGATTGAGAGCGAAGTGCTCTGTTAGGAACATAAGGAACAATCAGATCTCTGATATCAGATGGAGCTTGGCCATTTAAGGCTTTATATGTGAGAAGGAGGATTTTAAATTCTATTCTGGATTTAACAGGAAGCCAATGAAGAGAAGCCAGGATAGGAGAGATATGATCTCTCTTTTTCATTTTCATCAGAACTCTGGCTGCAGCATTTTGGATCAGCTGAAGGCTTTTAACTACAGCGAAGTGCTCTGTTAGGAATACCTCCTTAAATAACCTGATCAAAGGGAATACCTCCTTAAATAACCTGGTTAAAGGGAATACCTCCTTAAATAACCTGGTTGGAACTGGATCTAACATCCAAGCTGAAGCTTAGATGGATGTCGTTTTTAAAGTCTGTTCTTTGAGCAGGTTATCCTGTTAGGACTTCCTGCTATGGACCAATGAGAATGGAGGACGTCTGTGTGTTTTCAGTTACAGAGCAGATTCCAGCAGGAGACGGAGCAGCTGCGCCAGGAGCTGGAGAGCGCTAATAAGAAGAACTGTCAGCAGCTGCAAAGCAAAGTGGGCGAGCTGGAGAGCTCCTGCAGGGAGCTGACGGAGAGGAGATACAAGAATGAATCCTTCATCCGAGACCTAAAAATGAAGCTTAGCGGCTCAGAGGAGGTGGGTATCTGCAGCTTGTTGCTGTTCTGGGTCAGCTGATGGAGGAACCCCCCCCCCCAAAAGGGAAGTTAGGTCATTTCGTCTGGATTTTCACATTCTCACCATCTAACGTCTGAACCTTTGATTAATAAAGCAGCAGTCAAAGTGAAAACACGCTGAAACTGCTCTGACCAGGTGATCTCAGGGTTTACATGCAGCACAGTAGTTCCTGAGTTTCCCTGGAAATAGTCTTTCTTCATCCAGTAGATGTGATTTATTCTCCCCAGGATGAAGGCGGAGCCTTTTACCTCTTTACACAGAAAAAAATTCTATTTTACACAGAAACGCTCCTTTGACTCCTCCTCCTTCAGTTTCTCTGCTGCTGCCAAGAACCTTCAGGCCTCCTTCTAGAGCCCAGCCCATAAAATGCTCTGTGGTGCTTTAAAGGAGCCCAAGGCCCCCAGGAGGGCCCGAGCCCCCAGTAGGGGCCCCCAGAGCACAGGAGGAAGGCCTGCCGCAGGTGAAACTGCTCGCACTCATCAGCAGGACAAAGAGCGGCGCCATTCTGGGGGTTCTTTTATCCATTATAGATAAAATAACCATGAACTAAATGTTCCAGCAATGTGTTGACATCCAGATGTCGGGTTGAATGATGTTTCCTGTTGGCAGGAATGTCAGCGCCTAAAGCAGCAGGTCCTAAATCTGAGGAGGGAGAACGGCTCTCTGGACTCAGAGATCCATGAAAAGGAGCGTGCAGTCAGCCAGCTGCAGGTCCGAGTGGCCGTCCTGGAGCAGGAGGTCAAGGATAAGGAGATGGTGATATGCCGCACCAAGGAGGTGCTGGAGGCCACTCAGCAGCAGAAGGTGAGGTCTTTCTTAGGTTAATATTTCCAACATTGTGTTTTACCGCCTGTTTCCATTTGCCATCTGCTTTTTATGCTTCCATGTTTGTAGATGACCTTCAGTTTATATGTTTGCTTTAGATGCAACCTTCCTGTTAAATACTGAACATAAACAAAGTCCCTGTGTGGAATAAGCAGGCTGCATGCGCTGCCTCTGCTGCAGGCGCGGCCTCGGCTTCAGGCGCTGCCTCGGCTGCATGCGCTGCCTCTGCTTCAGGCGCTGCCTCGGCTGCAGGCGCTGCCTCGGCTTCAGGCGCTGCCTCGGCTGCATGCGCTGCCTCTGCTTCAGGCGCTGCCTCGGCTGCAGGCGCTGCCTCGGCTTCAGGCGCTGCCTCGGCTGCATGCGCTGCCTCGGCTTCAGGCGCTGCCTCGGCTTCAGGCGCTGCCTCGGCTTCAGGCGCTGCCTCGGCTGCAGGCGCTGCCTCGGCTGCATGCGCTGCCTCGGCTTCAGGCGCTGCCTCGGCTTCAGGCGCTGCCTCGGCTGCAGGCGCTGCCTCGGCTGCATGCGCTGCCTCGGCTGCATGCGCTGCCTCGGCTTCAGGCGCTGCCTCGGCTTCAGGCGCTGCCTCGGCTGCAGGCGCTGCCTCGGCTGCAGGCGCTGCCTCGGCTGCAGGCGCTGCCTCGGCTTCAGGCGCTGCCTCGGCTGCATGCGCTGCCTCGGCTTCAGGCGCTGCCTCGGCTTCAGGCGCTGCCTCGGCTGCAGGCGCTGCCTCGGCTTCAGGCGCTGCCTCGGCTTCAGGCGCTGCCTCGGCTGCAGGCGCTGCCTCGGCTGCATGCGCTGCCTCGGCTTCAGGCGCTGCCTCGGCTTCAGGCGCTGCCTCGGCTGCAGGCGCTGCCTCGGCTGCATGCGCTGCCTCGGCTTCAGGCGCTGCCTCGGCTTCAGGCGCTGCCTCGGCTTCAGGCGCTGCCTCGGCTGCATGCGCTGCCTCGGCTTCAGGCGCTGCCTCGGCTTCAGGCGCTGCCTCGGCTGCATGCGCTGCCTCGGCTTCAGGCGCTGCCTCGGCTTCAGGCGCTGCCTCGGCTGCAGGCGCTGCCTCGGCTGCAGGCGCTGCCTCGGCTGCAGGCGCTGCCTCGGCTGCAGGCGCTGCCTCGGCTTCAGGCGCTGCCTCGGCTGCAGGCGCTGCCTCGGCTTCTGAAACATGTTTATGTTAATCAATATGAGCCAGTTATTGTTCCAATGTGTGCAGAGTCTGCATCCCGTGGAAAATAACTTTATTATTTTGATCTGTTGAATGTTAATAACTTGTGTGTAATTTGATTTGCAGATTTGTAGATCTGTCTATAAACACAGGGACACTGAAGTCTGAAGTATTTTAGCTTCAACACCCAGAAATACAGAAACATCATGGGTTACCAGTCGGCGCTTCCTGCTCTGCTTAACACTTCTGCTTTCTGAGACACATTCCTATGACAGCGGAATGAGAATCAATTGAACTGATTGAATTTGACCCAAATCTACACTACAGTTCACTGAGCGTCTGGTTCATCAGTTTGCTTCTGCAGAGCTGATTGTTGTTTTCCTGTTTGCTGCAGGACTCAGTGGAGGAGACGGCAGCAAACAGAGAGCTGCAGATGAGGAAACTGGAATCAACAGTGAAATCTCTGTCAGAGGAGCTGCTGAAGGTTTGGAAAAACATTTATCCCACTCAGACATTTAACACCTGCAGTCAGTTTGATGGGCGTCCATTCAGCCAATGAAACGCAGGAGTAGTGATGATGTCATCGGCTGAAATGGTTCTAATGTGCCATATAACCTGGAGCGGATCAGCAGACCTTAAAACGGCTCTAATATTTATTTTTTAAAGGCTGTATTATATGATATTATTATTATTTAGTTTTTAATAAATCAGTAAAACAAATAAGACTGTTTAACTGCACAGGTTCCAAGTTTTAAATTATAATTTTATTTACAGAAATTGATTAAATTCCTCCCCGAACATTCATCATCATCATCATCATCGTCCATCTTCTGCGAGTTTCAGACATAAAGAAAAGTTCAGTCAATCTTCTCCCCCTTCCTAATTTCACCCCCCACAGCCGCTGACCCGCTCCACGCCAAGATACGGCGATCCGCCATGTTCTGCAGAAAGCGGCATCAGTGGGAGGAGCCAATGTTTGTAGCAGGAGGTGCTGAAGCCTTCCCTGACCTCATAGTCGTCTCTGTTTCACTAAAGGACAGGAGATGCATGTTGGACTCGGTTTGGAGACGCAGTCTTTGATGAAGTGATGTCACTCAGTGGAGCAGAAGCTGATAACTCCATGTTGTTCCTCCGTTTGCTCTCCATGGACATAAATCAGGCCCATAGAAGCCAGGAGCTCATCCACCAATCATCCAGCTAAAGGCGGCGTGCTGCGCTGATGATGGTGCAGTCCGTATCAGAGCCGGCAGAAACGGAGGAAGGCGCTCAGGGCATCATGTTCTCATGTGGCGGCGAGTTCATCCTGACTTTGACGTCTCCTCTGCCCTGTTCTGTGGAGCAGGAGCAGGAGGAGAGCTGACTGTGGAGATGCTGATAAAGTTTATTAGTTGTAATCTTTGTCAGAATAGCGGTTTATCACATGATAGCGGCCTCATCCAGACCCTGACCAAACGTTCCTCTGCGGCCTGATTGGTCCCTGAGGTGAACTGCTCAACCAGCTGACTGTTCTTTCACAGCGTTTCTCACCATCAGTTTCGGTGTCTGAGATGAAAGCTAGCGTTGAAAGTCATTCCTACAGTGAACGTTAAAGCTTCATGTCGCTCCGCACTTCTAGATAATGGATGATCAGATAGAAAAACTCATTTCTGCTTTGATGGTCAACATCCTCCCTGAGGCTCCTCCTCCCATCAGCAGGCGGCCAGCTACGACATGTAGACTTTTCCTGTCAATCTACTTCAGTTTATTTCTCTAGCTGCATCATTACACCTCAGGTCACTTTATAGATCCAGATCATCCAGATCATCCAGTCAGATTGATTTTCTATCCCAGGAAATCCAGCTAATTGCATCAACTATTTATCCCCATTTCCACTACACTTATGAAACTGAGATCGGTCCCAGCACGGTAACCATGGTAACTGAGTCTAAGCGCAGACCTGAACCGAACCGTGCTAACATGGGCTCGGCGCGGTTCAGTTCTGGCTCGGTTCTGCCTGAGCAGACCGCCTCCTCTCCTCAGTCAGCCTCAGTAATAACATTTCAGGCTCAGGGTGAGCCGCCTCCAGGCCACCACTAGATGGAGTCAGTGAGCTCTGAACGTCTAGATGCTCCATGCATTCAGTCTGCTCTCTCTGATCCAACGCTGCTGATCATAACAGGAGCTCAAAGATGTTTGGGGTTTCCTTCCCTCATGCCAGGGGCCTTTAAACTGGGAAGCATGAAGCACGGATCGGCTCCCAGGGTCTTAACCCCACTGGGAATGTTGGGCGGCGCAGGAGGAGGCTGTTTGCAGCAGTCATCAGAGAAGGTGAAAAGCAAATGCAGCATGGGTGGAGATGGATGCTGTGACTGACCAACACGCCATGCTACACGCCGCTAGAGCTTCTCTGCATCACGCCATCATAACTGATGCAGCTTCTCTTTAACGGAGGAAGCGCGGGGCGTGCTTTGGTGGCGCAGCGGTTAGCGCACACGACCCATGTATGAACGCGGCTGACCTGGTTTGAGTCCGACCTGTGGTCCTTTGCCACGTCTCTCCCCCCCTCCCTTATACCCCCTTCTCTTCAGCCCACTATCGAAAAAAAGAACAAACTAGAGCCGCAAAAACAAAGAAAACTCAAAACAGAAAAAAGAAGAGCTTGCTCTGGAGGCTCTGAGGAGCCTGATTGCTGCTCAGCTGACTGCTGGACGTAGAGCTGCTGGACGTAGAGCTGCTGGACGTAGAGCTGCTGGACGTAGAGCTGCTTGATGTAGAGCTGCTGGACGTAGAGCTGCTGGACGTAGAGCTGCTGGACGTAGAGCTGCTGGACGTAGAGCTGCTGGACGTAGAGCTGCTGGATCCAGGACAACCACAGCAGGAATGCACCACGGTGCCTTTATCCATCTATTCAGTTTATTTCTATAGCACCGGTTCACCACACAGAGACCATCAAGCCATGTGATGTGATGTTTGACCTAGATATATTAACATAGATCTGATCTAGCCTAGAATCCTGCTAAACATGTATCTAGTTTTAAATAAAGTCTTTAGCCCTGTTCTAAGCACTGCCCTGCTCTGCTGCTGTACTGCCCCCTGCAGCTGCCTTAATGTACTGCATGTGGTTGAAATGTTGCATCTATCGTAGTTTTTAAACGGCGGTTAGATGTAGCGCTGCAGGAGTTACTGTGGCTAGATGTTGAAGGGGAGGTTACCTACTGGTAAAATTAGACTTTAAATCCTTTCTCAGCTTAAACATTCTTCACTTTCATCTGGGTTACCAGAAAGCATCATTTCCTCCATTGTTGTCAATCATTGCTGCCCAGCCTGCTTCAAGGTGCAATGAATTATGGGAAAGGACACACCTGGGACGTATCCTCCAGATGTAATGGAACATAATGAAAGTTTAGCCCCGCCCCCTCTACAGCAGAGAGAAGCGCCATAAGGTCTTCATGCCGCCGTTTTGGCAGTAATTTAGCTCCATAGCATCGCTGTCGGCATTTATTCAACATCTGAAATAAAAATAGATGATTACTGGTAAACATTTCATTCTACATAATCTTTGTTTTCTATTTTTAGGTTCTACAGTAAAAATAATGTTTTGGTGAGATTTTGTCTTTTAGTTTTCAGCAAACATTCCTTTCTGATTTCAGGCTAACGGGATAATCCAGAAACTCCAAGGAGAAGTTCGAGGACTGGTTGGAAAAGTGAAGGTGAAGAACACAGTGACTGTTTCACAGGAGAAGGTTCTACGAGAGACCGAGGCAAAGCTGCAGAGCGTTGACAAGGACCTGCAGACTGCTCAGAGGGAGGTCTGCTCTAAGGAGGAGGAGGTGGGTGAAACGATTGGCTGCTGGTACCGCTGAGGTCACAAGTAATTTCAATACATCCGTCTACCCGTCCATCCATCCATCATCCATCCATCATCCATCCATCCATCCATCATCCATCCATCCACCCATCCATCCATCATCCATCCATCCATCCATCCATCAATCATCCATCCATCATCCATCCATCATCCATCCATCCATCATCCATCCATCATCCATCCATCCATCATCCATCCATCCATCCATCCATCATCCATCCATCCATCCATCCATCAATCATCCATCCATCCATCCATCATCCATCATCCATCCATCCATCCATCCATCATCCATCAATCATCCATCCATCATCCATCCATCATCCATCCATCCATCCATCCATCATCCATCCATCCATCCATCCATCCATCAATCATCCATCCATCCATCCATCATCCATCCATCCATCCATCCATCCATCCATCCATCATCCATCAATCATCCATCCATCATCCATCCATCCATCCTCCATCCATCATCCATCCATCATCCATCCATCCATCAATCATCCATCCATCCATCATCCATCCATCAATCATCCATCCATCCTCCATCCATCATCCATCCATCCATCATCCATCCATCCATCCATCCATCCATCAATCATCCATCCATCATCCATCATCCATCCATCCATCCATCCATCCATCATCCATCAATCATCCATCCATCATCCATCCATCCATCCTCCATCCATCATCCATCCATCATCCATCCATCCATCAATCATCCATCCATCCATCATCCATCCATCCATCATCCATCCATCAATCATCCATCCATCCATCATCCATCCATCCATCCTCCATCCATCCATCCATCCATCATCCATCCATCCTCCATCCATCATCCATCCATCCATCCTCCATCCATCATCCATCCATCAATCATCCATCCATCCATCATCCATCCATCCATCCATCCATCCATCCATCCATCCATCATCCATCCATCCTCCATCAATCCATCCATCCATCCTCCATCCATCATCCATCCATCCATCATCCATCCATCCATCAATCATCCATCCATCCATCATCCATCCATCCATCCTCCATCCATCCATCCATCCATCCATCCCCTTCTTCCTCTTCCTCAATGGGACGTGCCTGGAACACCTCCTGAGGGAGGCGACCAGGAGGCTTCAGGGACAGATGCCTGAGCCTCCTCAGCCGGCTCCTTTCAATGTGGAGGAGCAATGACTCTACTCTGAGCTCCTCCAGGGTAACTGAGCTCCTCACCCGATCTCAGAGGGTGCGCCCAGCCACCCTGCGAAGGAAACTCATTTCGGCTGCTTGTATTCCCGATCTTGTCCTTTGGGTCATTACCCAGATCTCATGAGCATAGGTGAGGGTGGGAATGTAGATCCATCGGTAAATCCAGAGCTTTGCCCCCGACTCAGCTCTCTCTTCACCATGACAGTCCGATACAGCGACTGCATCACTGCCTACGCTGCACCGATCCGTCTGTCGATCTCACGCTACATCCGTCCCTCACTGGTGAACCAGACCCTGAGATACTTGAACTCCTCCACTTGAGACAAGGACTCTCCATCGACCTGAAGAGGGGAGGCCACCTTTCGCCGGTGGAGAACCACGGCCTCGGATTTGAAGGTGCTGATCCTCATCCTGACTGCTTCACAATCTGCTGCAAACCGCCCCAGTGTACGCCGGAGGGCCTGATTTAATGAGGCCAACAGGACAACATCATCTGCAAACAGCAGAGATGATATCCTGAGGTTCCCAAACAGGACACCCTCCAGTCCCTGACTGCACCTAGAAATTCTGTCATAGATGTAATGAACAGAACCGGTGACAAAGGGCAGCCCGGTGGAGACCAACATGCACCTGGAACAGGTCTGACTTACTGCGAACCAAGCTCCTGCTGCGGTCGTACAGAGAGCGGATAGCCCTTAACGGAGGGACCCGGACCCCATACTCCTGGAGCACCCCCCACAGGGAACCCCAAGGGTCATGGTCCAACGCCTTCTCCAGATCCACAAAACACATGTGGACTGGTTGGGCGAACTCCCATGAACCCTCCAGCACCCAATGAAGGGTATAGAGTTGGTCCAGTGGGCTGCGACCGGAACGAAAACTGAAATGTTCCTCCTGGTCAACTATTGGCCGGATCCTCCTCCTGCGACCTGGAGAAGACCTTACCAGGGAGGCTGAGGAGTGTGATCCCTCTTTAAGTGGAGAACACCCTCCGGTCCTCGTTTTTAAAAAGAGGGACCACCACCCCGGTTTGCCAATCCAGGGGTACTGTCCCCAACTGCCATGCGATGCTGCAGAGACGTGTCAGCCATGATAGTCCTACAACATCCAGATACATAAGGTACTCAAGACAAATGTCATCTGCCCCCCGGCCTGCCACCGAGAAAATTTCTAACTACCTCAGTGAGTTCAGCCTGGCTGAACCATCTCTAAGTCCCCAGCCTCTGCCTCCTCCTCGTAAGGCGTGACGGTGCGATTGAGGTCATCCTTGAAGTACTCCTTCCACCACCCGACAACATTTCAAGGTCATCAGCTCCCCACCCACACTGTAAACAGTGTTGGTGAAGCACTGCTTCCTCCTTCTAAGGCGGTGAACAGTTTGCCAGAACACTTTCGAGGCCGACCGATAGTCCTCCTTCATGGCCTCTCTGAACTCCTCCCAGACACAGAGTTTTTGTCTCTGCCACCACACGAGCTGCAGCACGCTTGGCATGCAGGTACCTCTCAGCTGACTCTGGAGTCCCACTAGCTAACAAGGCCATGTAGGCCTCCCCTTTCAGCCTGACCACATCCCTTACATCCGGGCACCACCATTAGGTTCGGGAATTGCCACAGCAACAGGCACCAGAGACCTTATAGCCACAGCTATGTGCGGCGGCATTGACAATGGAGGAGGAGAACATGGACCACTCAGACTCCATGTCTCCAAACTCGCTCAGGATCTGGGAGAAACTCGTCCAGAGGTGGGAGTTGAAGACCGCACTAACAGAGGGATCCACCAGATGTTCCCAACAGACCCTCACAACACACTTAGGCCTGCCAGGTCTGATCGTCTTCCTCCCCTGCCAGCGGATCCAGCTCACCACTAGGTGTTTATCGGTTGACAGCTCAGCCCCACTTTTCACCCGAGTGTCGGAGACACGCGACTGGAGATCAGACGACACAACTACAAAGTCGATCATTGACCTCCAGCCTAGGGCGTCCTGGTGCCAAGTGCACTTATGGACGCCCTCGTGCTCGAACATGGTGTTTGTTACGGACAAACTGTGATCAGCACAGAGGTCCAATAACACCATTCGGGTTCAGATCGGGGAGGCCGTACTTTCCAATCACCCCTGTCCAGGTCTTGCTGTCGCTGCCCAAGTGGGCGTTAAAGTACCCCCAATGGAGTCCCTAGTTGGAGCACCATCTAGTATCCCTCTTAAGCACTCCAAGAAGGCCGGGTATTCTGCACTGATGTTGGGCGCATAGGCCGAGACGACGGTGAGAGACTTGTCCCCAAGCTGAAGGTGTAGGGACATGACCCTCTCGTTCACCAGGGTGAACTCCAACACCTGACGACTGAGATGGGGGCAATGAGCAAGACCACCCCAGCCCGCCGCCTCTCCCCGTGGGCGACGCCAGAGAAGTGAGATGGGATCTGGAACCCAAGCTGTGCGTAGAGGTGAGCCGGACTATAGCCAGCCGGTACCTCTCAACCTCCTGTACAAGCTCAGTCCACAAGCACCCAGTCCTCTCTGCACCTGACCCCTATGGATCCCTCTGCAGGTGGTGGGTCCACAGGAGGGCGGGCCCACGTCGTCCGTCCGCGGTGAGCCCGGCCTCCAGGCACTGGCATGCAATCCCCAACCCAAGGCCCTGGCTGTTCCATACCGGGCGAAGTCAAGGTCCTTGGTTTAACTCTCTCCATATTTGTCTTGTTGTCTTTTCTGTGTGAATTTCAATTAAATTCAGTTCAGTTTATTTCTATAGCTCCAATTCACATCATGTCATCTCAGGTCCCTTTATAGATCCAGCAGTCCCTCACACTAAGCATGCTTGTAGCGACAGTGGAGAGGAAAAACTCCCTTTGAACAGGAAGAAACCTCCAGCAGAACCAGGCTCAGTGTGAGCGGCCATCTGCTGAGGCCGACTGGGGTTCAAGGAGACAGAAGCAGACATAGAAAAAGAAGCATAGATACAAAAGGCAACTGTCAACCAGCTCCACAGGCGGCCCCGTCCAGGAAACACACAGCCAGGCATGCCACTAGGAGGCGAGGAACCGTGCTAGCGTGGTGCTAGCCGGGAAATGAGGCTTTACCCATAGCAGCGTAGCTATAGCGATAGCTCTGGATAACCTGACTGTCTTGATGTATCAGAAAGGTAGAGTCTAAATATTAACAAAGTCAGATGTGATCCACAGACACACAATGATTCAACAAGCACATGAAATGTAAACATTAACACAAGAGATACTGAACTGTTTGTCTGTTTTCTTGTTTTGCAGATCAAACAACTGAAGGAGCAGTTGGAGGTGACGGTTCAGAAGCTGAATGAAAGCAAAGAAGTATTAAAAACCAACGAAAATGGTGAGGAGTAGCTTCTTCTGCGCTTATCGAGCAAGGCATATTAAAGTTTAACCACAAACATTAATTCACTTTTATATTTGCTCATTAGATAGTAGGGCTGGGAGATTAAGCAGATTTTTACCGTCATTCCCTACGATAACCAGCAACAGTTTTCCCATTAAATGGATCAACTGAATTCTGCTGTTTTTCCTGCGTGTGTTTGAGGCTGGTCTTTTATTCCCCTTTAACACACAGCAGCGCTGGTCTGATCATGTGACTCCATCCATCCAATCAGAAGGGTAAACAAAGAGAATGGAGGATGAGCTCAGTGAACACGCTGCTAACACGGCTGTAAAGGAAATGACATCAGTTCCTCCTGTGGAGCCGAGCGAGAGCAGAGATGAAGCTGACATCGTGATGTCAGAGTTGAGCGCGCAGCAGAGCGGTTTATAGGGAAGGTGTGCGAGTTTAAACGATCCCCGTTTTTCCCGCTGCACGCTCAGATCTGTGGAACCAACATGACGCCATAGATGTTGATCAAAGGAACAGGAAATGCAAAGTTAGTCTGCAGACTGTGGGGAATAACCAGAGTAACACATCCAGCCTCCTGCAGCACAGCCACGCTGTGGAGGTCAAAGGTCAGCTAAAGCGATTTCCTCCTGTTCAATCAGACACTGATGAATGTTTAAACCTGAATGGCTTCAAGAATTGAATATTTAATAGAAAGTAATATGTAACGTGATTAATTCAATAACTAGATTATAAATAGATCAGCTGCCTTTCCTGCACTGGGCTTTATTCTGCTAGAGGAGCGTTTATGGAGGTTAAACTGCCCAGTTTATCCTGATATTACTGTGAGGTCATATCATCCAGCCCTATTAGATGCTATAGCGACTGCATGCAGTGACGTTTGTTAAACTGGAGGTTAAAGGTCATAAACTCAGCCCTATTAGATGCTATAGCGACTACATGCAGTGACATTTGCTAAACTGGAGGTTAACTCAGACACAGTTTTTGTAAATAACCTTTACAAAGAAAAATAGCGTCTGCTGATTAGTGGTGGAGGTACAGGAGCAAAGCTAGCAAAGCTGCTGAAATCAGCACCCTGCTGGTTTCCAGAGGGAGTTTAAGCCTTTGCATCAAACCAACGTCTGACATCAGTGGAAAATCTTTAAGGATCGAGTAGCGATATGAACTGAATTTGACAGAGACTCAGTATTTAGGAAGCATTTCATTAAACAAGAGATTCTTCCTCACTGCAGCCCTTGAAGTCGATCTGCTGCCACAGAAGGTTGCATCTAGAAACAGGTCTATGTGTCGTAGTGATCTCTATCACACGATGGTAAAGTCTTGCCTCAGTGTTCTGTGGGAAAAAGGTCATCAAATCAATGAAAGTCTGGAGTCAAACATCTAGAGTCAGTGCAGAGGGAAATCAAAATGGCCTCTTCCTCGCATCATTTCACCGAATCTGAAAGCAAAGCTTGGCTGAAGCCAACAGGCTGAGTTTTTTTAAAGGATTTGGAGCACGGAAGTTAGTGTTGCACCGAAGCCATTTACCTGGCTGTGCAGTATGGGCCGGTACCGATACCACCATTTCAGTGCTGGATCGGGGCCCCGGTATCGGCCATCGGTATCGGCCATCGGTATCGGCCATCGTATCGGCCATCGGTATCGGCCATCGTATCGGCCATCGGTATCGGCCATCGGTATCGGCCATCGGTATCGGCCATCGTATCGGCCATCGTATCGGCCATCGTATCGGCCATCGGTATCGGCCATCGGTATCGGCCATCGGTATCGGCCATCGGTATCGGCCATTGTATCGGCCATCGGTATCGGCCATCGTATCGGCCATCGGTATCGGCCATCGTATCGGCCATCGGTATCGGCCATCGTATCGGTATCGGCCACCGGTATCGGGTATCGTATCGGCCATCGGTATCGGCCATCGGTATCGGCCATCGGTATCGGCCATCGGTATCGGTGCAACACTAAGGGAAATGGAGAAACATGGACCTGATCCTGATCTGACCCTTAATCTCCCACATTTACTGTTTTCCAGTCATCAACTGGCTGAACAAGCAGCTCAATGAGGCCGAGCTGACCAGAAAGATGGCGTCTGCTGAGGCGTCCGACGCTCACTCTGGATTCTCCGCATTAACAGGAATCCGGGTAGGAATGATCTTCAGCCCATCCAGCAGAGGCCGTCTGTCTTTGTTTCTCTCCATCTGTAGTCTGACTGCTTCTTTCAGGCCCAGTTTTATCCTCCGCCTGGTAAAACCACAGACGTCTCTCCCACTGAGCGCGGCGCCGGGCCCACTGTCAGCAGACAGCTGTGAGTTTCTGCATCAACGCCATTTATTCCGTTACTATGAACACATGATGCTGCATCAGCTGTCTGCCAGTAATGAGGAACAGCAATAAAGTTAATGTTTAGCACTGATCCTCCATGCCTGTCAGGGGATTCTGCCCACCCTTAAATCCACAGGAAGAACAAGAAGAGTGGCTGATCCAGGTTATCTGGATCCTGCTGTTTGTCATCCAGTGATTGGAACCTCAGACGGTTCAGTCCTCTTGGGTTAAAGCCATGGATGTCCGGCTGAAACTGGATCCACCGTCTGACTGGACGACCTGCAGCTCTGTTCCAGTCTTGGTGTCCTTGGGAAATAAAGCTGCTGTTGGCGACCAGAGGGCCGCCATCGGGGGACGGATGATGGGATGGAGCTCTGGGTCCCTAAACTGGACTGAGGATGAAACGTGTCCATGATGCCGATCAAACATCTTCTAGCTTCATGTTTTCCTGACGTTGCCTTCAGGGACCTGAATGTCTGAGCAGCAGCAGCTCCGCCTCAGATGATGAAACAGAAGATCAAACCCTTCATGAGCAGTTT